GGGGGGGGGGTGGTATTTCCTGTATGGTATGAATTTTTCATATACCGCCATACTGTAGCATAGCTGAAACAACAGACATAATGCTTCATTAGGCAGCAAGTTATGTAATACTGCTTGTGTTGGAATCACTATGGATTGCTGTGCAGGGTGTAATAGGAGGGGATCCCTGTTAACTGTGCTAATCTTCCTACTAACAGCTATAACTCTGTAACACAACAATGCAACAATGCATTACCGTAACTTCCTTTCTTTAACAGAGCAATGATGAAAATTAATATATTAAAAAAAAATAATATTATGTGAACATGTGACTTCTAACACAAATTTAAAAATCTCAAAACACTTGTCCAGACACCTATATATACATATATTAATGCAGGCCCTTGTTTTGGTTATTTTTCAAAACTCTATCTTAAGTGATCTTCCATACTAAATGTATCAAACCCGGGGTGCCCAACCTTTTTAACTCAAGATCTACTTTTCAAGTAGCCAGTGTGCTGAAATCTACCAGTTCAAATAGGGAGCCATAGCTATTACTCTGTTACTCTATTGTTACTCTAGCTATTGCCTTTCTACAAAGTTAATATGCTGTTTGGGCGGATTAGACATGTTTTCCCATGGTCGATATTTATGCAGTCTTCAAACTCGGCCTTATGCAACGTCACGTTGTTCTAATGTCTAATAATTTCTAAATCCATATTCCAGATATATACTAATAATTATAGGTGTAGGTGGTCTCATATGTATGATATTTGCAAGAAAATTGTGTGTAACATATTTTTTACATACAAACATTGGATGGAGCGACTTCTTCAATGCCAATTGGCGATAACAGGAGATAAATATACACCATTATATGTCATTTACACGGAGCCCTTCCATAGGGCTCCGTACATTTAGATATATTTTAGACAGATTCTGTGGAAATGAGCATTATATCAACTTGCAGTGAGGTATTCAAGCAGAGGAGTCCAGGGCCTGTAGATAAAATGTTTACCTTTTCAATGTAATACGGAAAACAATCAAACAGTCCAATTCTCAGAGCAACCCGGGTCATTATTTAGCTACGCCTGAACTCAACAAAGTGCAACCCAATTATCATCATGGCATCCTGTTCTCAACGACGGCTTTTTAATTAATAAACCTTGCTCAAGCCATTACTCAAATTAACCAGAGGACCTGAAATCACATTAAAATGAACACAGTAGATAAGGACAGCAATCATTTTCAAAAATGTGCCAGTATTTCTTATAACATACTGTTAAATAAGTAAACACTGGATAAACCCAAATTAGGGTCACTGCTAATTTAATTAATTTAATTAATTTTTAACTAAAGGAAACATACGTATTTTCCCCACAATTGCACCAGTTTCAGTAAAAAAGTAATTTGTTCATTTAAAACCGAAGGTCGGTATAATTTAAAGGAGCCTTTCACATTTAAAAGTATTATAGAAACATTCTGTTTTCCATGACATGAATTATGTGAGTCAGTTAATCAACAGCTTATTTATAAGCTAATTAGGAGCTGAATTAAACCAAAAGCCATAACACACAGAGGGCCTCCACAATGAGGATTATGGTGCCTGGCAGTGAACACTCATGGATGTGCTGTCTGCATTTTCCACAGCATGCCAGAGAAATGGTCGACTTACTCCCAACTTCTGCTGTGGCCTGAGGCTGTGCCTGACCGCACTGTCGTGGTCAGACAGAGGAGGTGAAGGATTAGGGTGGCAGGGAGTGCATGACAGGGTGATTCATGTGGCTCAGCTCTCCGTTGGCAGGGTTGTTCAGTTGTTACTCTTGCACAGGAAGGCCTCAGTAATGGTGAATGTATAATTCTTACATAAAAAGACTCTCCTTTACTGCCATACCAAGGGCCTGTTCTTACAGTCCATGACATGACCAGACATCCCGTAGAAGCTAATGTGACAGATGTTATGGTCCATGTAGACCACTTTTGGTCGAAGGTCTGGTGGAACCCTGGGCAAGCTTCACCCCCTGTCCAAGACAAAGTGCAGTTGGCTTGCTAAGTCAGTACCCCTTCAGAAGATGACGCCCCATGCGGCTGCCTATGTCGCTCGATGGGAGGTCGACCTTCTGATTGGGACCTTTGTCCTGCTCCTGCCCCAGGGCCCCATGGGACTACAAGGGCCCCACGCCAGGACCATAAAAAGCGGGCAGCTTGCTCTCTGAACCTTGGAGTCCAATTACAGTGAATTAGACAGAGTCTCACTGCAATGCTCAAGGTTTACGCCATGAACCGACCGAAGGTACGTGCCTAGTGTAATGACTCACTAAACCCGTCAGGCGCACGTTCACTCCAGTTGAGGAAATCCCCTGTAAACACGGCATCGCCAAAGGTGCTTTACATCAGTGCTCAGCCATTGTAACAGAGCTGCTGTCAAACAGCACTTCACACAGCTGGTCGTGTAAACGACAAACCATTTTGTCAGTTCTGGCCTCCTGCTGCGCTTCAGCGGTCTTGAATGACCAAAGATTGGTTGATGGCTCATTCGTTAGTATCATGAATTTCCAGCTTCCCCTGTCAGCCGTACGCATGCGGCTTGGCGGCACCTACCGCTGGGCACCATGGCCACAGCCTGGCACCCCACTGGCTGTAGCTTAGCAACCCTTCTCCAGCCGGCCAATCACACGATGACTTTGCAGATTATGCAGATTATGGAAAACAGTTTCAGTTTTCCAGTACATATTCAGTGCTGGAAGTACACTGGGCAGCTTTAGTTTAACGATTTCCCTCTGCTACTAACTGACTACAATATACAGTCTGTCCATGGCCTCTCACTATATATTCAGGCTCTTTTATCACGAAAGACTTCACTGTCTTGCTGCTGGTGTGTTTACAAAATTCTAAAGCTTAGCATACGAATCAGGATGCCTTTAAATACTGACTGCATTTCCACATCAGTCCCTACTTGTGGCAACTCCCTTTTTATGCATGTTTTTCTGTAATAATAACTTTCTACAGCCATGTGCTGATTTGTGCCAGGTATCTTGTGGGAGCTGACAGACATGCCTCTCTGCTGGACTCTGTCAGTTAGCCCGTGGCTGAGAGTGTGCTGCTTGTATTCAGACAGTGCCCTCAGGACGTATTCATTTGAGCCATAAAATGGCTAAATGATCCAAAAAAGATTAGAATACTTGTTCATACACACGCTGGAGTATCTGTAGATAAACAATGATCAATAAAGATTGTAAAAACAGTGATAATGTGGGACCTTAGATTGGATTCCATGCAGATGTTGCGCACAGTGCAGGAGTTTAAAAACACTTCCATTCTCCACCAACAGGGGACGATGGTTCTCAAGTTGATCCTTCCCAGGAGACTTAGGCTCAACAAGTCATGAGGCACCTGATGTCAACACACAGGCCATGACAACTGCAGGCAGATTAACTGATGGACGAGCAGAGCAGACTAACAAGCAGCACGAACCCCAAGTGCGACCACCTGCAGGAACCGGACCGCCTTGCCCCTGGGGAAGGTACTGAACCCCCCCCCCCCCCCCAACAAACACCGAACCTCTATACTGCCCTGCTGTCTTGAGATAGTGGCTTTGAACACTAGGCCCTGCCACTTGTTTTGCTATTAGCACAGCAACAATCTTCAATCATAAATTCATACTGTGTTTTGTTCACACTGTATTTATTTGGATTAAATAACCTGACTAAAGAATATTATAAAATAAGGGTCCTACAAAAAATTATTCCCAGGCATTTAGTATTATTTTTATTATTCCATTTGAACATATTCTCACAATTTTGGAAGCATTTAATTTACAGTCAAATGTATATATTGCTTTCAGTTGATATGTCTGTTCTTAGCATAATGGTGTAAGGCAGGTTTAAAGGTGTCACATCTCCCACTTTATGTGGTTTGCCAGCAACCCCCAACATAATGGTGTAAGGCAGGTTTAAAGGTGTCACATCTCCCACTTTATGTGGTTTGCTGGCAAACCCCAACATAATGGTGTAAGGCTGGTTTAAAGGTGTCACATCTCCCATTTTATGCGGTTTGCCGGCAACCCCCAGCACGCTCTGCAGCGTGTCATGTCAAGAAGGACTTAGCTACAAAGTGCAGACCCTCATCAAGATAAGGTCAGCCTTCTTAGTGAGGGTGAGCTGAGCTTCTCTGAAATCCCCGGCACAGCATTATACGGGAAATTATCTGATGGGAAATGAAACAGGCTGAGTCCGTAACACCATAATCTCCACACATTGCTTGTTTCTGATGAACAGAAGGAAAACAGTCGTAGAAAAACCCTTTTGACAAGATCAGCCGAAGTCCACGGCTGCTGATAAAACCCAATTTGATTTTAAGTTAAATATGAATAATGGAAATAAATCACACCAGTGTTTTTGGTAGATTTCTTATTCAGAGTGACCTTGACATTAAAACAAGGTCCGTACAATCCTGCGATTGTCTGATTCCATACAATCCTGCGAGTGGCTGATTCCGTACAATCCTGTGATTGGCTGATTAACGGTTACCAGACACGGCCCCTCCGGATTGTGCCTGTGATGTGCTAGTCTTTGGTCAGTCAGCTCTGGAAATATTGTTCTCTGAACAGAGCATTGTCCATCAGAGAACGGGGTTCGATAACAAATACTGCCACTACTGTCATCATTAGTGCACAACCAGAGCAATTAATGATGTTGTTGACATCTGTACACTACAAAACTAAGCTATGTATGAATTATTCATTATAAGGCATGACCAGAAACATAACTTTGGCTGATTGCATTTCAGTGGCATCTACCTAATTCTTAAAAGCCTTTACCTTCCAGTGGGTCAAAGACCTTTCTCTGTTTAACGCTCATGCTAATGTACCTTAGATCAATCTGTGTTTAAACAAACCTAAACGTTCCTTTTAAGCCGATAATTTGTTCTCATTAAGCATGCACAGAAGCGTAATCTCCATGGCTTTGACTGGGAAACAACGGCACAGCGGAGCTGGAGAGCATGAAGGAAACAGCCCCCACCTTGTCGTAGGGGTCTGAGTCGTAGTTCAGCCCAATCCCGCAGTCATCCGTGATCTCGGACAAATCTTCATCATCAAACTCCTCCAGACTGATGTCGTGAGCTTGTCTGTGTGGACGACAAGGGAGACGGAGAACAGAGCTGTGAGACACGAGGCTGGGAGGATCAGGGATCCGATTTGGGAATGGAAATAGCGAGACCGATCTGAAGGGATGCAACCAAAACAGCCATTTCGGGGAAGTACAGGGGATTACAGATAGACCAACAGGCGTCTGGTACCAGACGGGCGGCAGTGGAGGGCTGGTAGGAAATCGGGATTTGGGGTGTTTACTGGGAATAGGGAAGAAACGAAAAAGCATTTGGAACGAGAAGCAGGTGAACTGAGGCATCGCAGCATAACACAACGGCACAGACAAAAGAGGCCGACACCAAAAATAAACTCACAGACACCAAAATCATAAGCAACTCAGCCGAGTATATGCACACTCAGAGCCAGACACAGCAGAAGCTACATTTTTTTTATTTAATTTGCTGATATATTCTATGCCAAGGAATTTCATGCAATGTTTAATGTGGCCCATGACTTGAATATGTCTGACACGCCTTTCAGGATTTCCAGGCAACAAACCTAACATCAAAGTTTGATAAGATAATCAGCAGCACAGATATGACTAACCTTGAAATGTAGTCCACATGCGCCTTCCCCGGGGGTGTGAGTCCTACCTTCAGCTCGGTGTGCATGTAGCCTGCATGTCTCGAAACCTCCCGAAGCTCGTGTGTGTAAAAGTGCCCTGTGACAGACTGGCACCTTGTCCAGGCTGCACCTCAGCATGGGCTCTGGAAGGTGGGATTACCTTTTAAGGTTAATCCTTTTTACTGTATGAATTAAAAATGTGTTCTTTTTTTTATGAACCAAGACAGTAAGTCTAACCCATCATGCTCCTCCAACACCTGCAGCACTGGTCAATCTCTCTTTTTATGTACTAGAATAGCTACACTATCGCCATCTATTCAATTTCTATACTCCAATATCTCTGCTTTATCAATAATGAATAAAATGTCTTTGTGGCGGAGTGGCACTGGTCGGCTTATACCGCAGCACGTTTGACTCATCGCCCCTGTCAGTCTCAGGATAAAAAATTAATAGTTTCTATTGTTACCGATCAGCATTTTTAGCACGTCGTCGCATCTCTGTTTGCTGACTTGGCAATTTTTGCGAGTACGTGACCTGTGCAGGTTCCTGATTAACAACCAGCTGCCAGGCACCGGGGCGGGGGCAGTCGACCGCGGGGTGCTTAATCACCGAGTTTTGGATTGGGTGGGGCTTCCTCTGATCCATTTGCTTAGATCTCACCTTCTACCTGCTCATAAATCATATTTATTTCAGGGATGCTTGTGGAAGGACGATACTCACATCTGGAGTCTATTTGACACCCCCCCCCCCCAAACCACCACCATGTTATTTCTGGGAGAAAACTGCCTTTTTAGTCTTGAGACAGAAATACTTTAGACTGTGCAGAGCTGCCTTTAGAAGTACTGCTTCTCTTTTGTCGTGCTGTCTATCAGGCTCCATCTATTGCGGCTTCAGCCTTTGATGATTCAGGAGAAGGGAGCTCGTCAGCTAATGAGCTCAGGTTAAGTGTAGCAGATAAATGCTACTTTCACTCAGCTTCCTGACCAATCACGGCACATCTGAACTGACCGGAGTACTGCAGTGTTGCCAGGGAGCTGGACAGGGATTAAGCATCTATGCAGCATTAAACCCTAAGGAGTAGGCTTGATAACAGGCTGGGTGTAATGTAAAAATCCATAACAAAGAGCTCCATTGCAGATACAGCACCCAGGCATCAAAGGCATGTTGTCAAAGCAGCCATTATCATGAAAGAAGCCTCTATTGGTCAAATGTCCTGCATCCTGCATCACCCATGAACCAATCATGGCTCAGCAGGACACATGGATTATTTGCATATTGGTTTAGCTTTGGCGCAGTCCAACCTGCCTTGTTTAGTATGAAGGGACCAGCAAAGAAACACTCTGCACAGCCAGCTGATCCCCTCCCTAGGGAACTCCAGTTTGTTCTGCCTGAAGTGAGATAATAGGAATCCATCTGCACAGGCAAACAAAGAAAGAGAACTTTTAAAACAGTTTTGTGCCTCCACAAATCCTACGTGACTCGTCTTTGACTGAAACCGACGATTGTCCGTGAGCCGGGGAGAGGCCTTTGCATGGGTGGGCTTTCCGTCGAGGAGAAGGTCACAACGATTTCTGCTTGACCCTGAAACATGCCAAGTGATGGCCCCACATCGATAGGTCATCCATCATACGCCTCAGGCTGTGAGGCACCTCAGTTCTGTACACTGGCACATCCATGGAGCTCAATTAATCACCTCCAACCACCAAAATAACGATCATAATGAGAATATCACACATTGTTCGCTGCTACAAAGATCCGCATCGTCGATAACATTATTCATGCAATTCTACAATCGTCTCATCCTGCTGTTTTTATAGATTCTTATCCTGAGGGTTACTGTACATTCCTCTCTGGCACGGCTAGTTCAGCTTTGGGATAATGATAAAAGTAATAATTAATTATAAAGGATAGATGAAATGCAACCAATCGTCTAAGCAATGTACTCTGACCTTTGAAAGGCATTTCTGGCATTTGCCTTTATATATTTCGACCATTTGATTTGGAGTTAACGATATTTTGGAAACAAAATACATCACTGACCCCCAGCCCCCACCTGTAGTACTGTATTGGCTGAAATATCATGTCTTTATGAAACTGAAAAGATAGGTGTTTTTTTCTTTAAGGGAAAGAGATA